AATTGGCTGAAATTCAAAAACTTGAATATATGTATAATCAGATCCGTTTTACCGATCTCTCCGAGTACAAATTAAGTATTTAAGATAATTAGCTGATTATCAACCGTTTGTTTTTGGTCGAGAGCTAAGGATCTTATCGTTACGTTGCCTCAGGGTTTGCTCATGAGGATTTCTCCTATCCCTTTCAACCCAAGATTTACCGTTGGCATAAAACAAAGTATTTCAGACCAACGGGTTAGGTATAAAATAAAAAATAGAAAAAATTCGTTACAATATCAGTCGTGGCGTTTATAGTGGCGACGCTTTATAGAGGGTGGTCATAAAGTAACTTTACTATTTAAAAATTCTATAATTTCTATACAGTTATTTATGGCCACCCTGTACATAGAATTACTCATAAGAATACTGAAGTTTTTACTCTAAGAGCAGATATTCTAGATCGCAGCAAGTGCGAGATACGACAAAATGTATCAGGTCGAATTTTTATAATTAGAAACATAATTCGTATGGATTTTTTTAAAACAAAAATGCCACATTTTTTGCATGTTAAAAGTCAAACTGATACCTGTTATTCGCTCAGACATCGCCTTTCGGGGAAGCAACGGTATTTAGCATGTGCCTGGTAGCAGGGCTGATATTTAAAGTATTCACCGATTTGTTACAATCTTCACTACAGTGCATTTTGTAGCTACGTTTCTAAATTCGTTACCCTGCACATTGTAGTCTAAGCAATGCAGTAGGGTTCCATTTAACTTCGAAATTCGCCCCGATTTGAACCGTAAAACAACGAAGTTTTGACACTCGGTCCGCCGAATTCTCTTCCTGGGTAGAACGAACAGTTTCTATAGGTTCATTAGCAAATGTACTTATGTTAGTCTTTAAGAAATGTTGTATTTACCGTAAATACCACATAATTGACTTTAACCCTTTGCACTCGACTGTCGCCTCTCAGGCGCCAAAATATATAAAAACAAGCTGCAATTTGGAACTTGCAATTTGCTTCCTCCGAATCGTAAGTAGTGTACGAAGTCCTTATATGAGGAAGCATTTTCATTTTTTTTTAATCTTTGGCTTCCTCGTAGATGAATTTTCATCTACTACCCACGATTCAGAGGAAGCAAATTGCAAAATTAAAATTCTTGGCTTCTTACGATTCGGAGGAGGCAAATTGAAACTTGCAATTTGCAGCTTGTTTAACGTGAGTCCCTTATGCCTCTCACAACTTGGGGTGCTTCATACTGTAGAGAACGCATGTAAGGATAAATCTCTTGCATGATCTCTTCGGGCCTAATATTTTTGAATTGGCTGAAATTCAAAAACTTGAATATATGTATAATCAGATCCGTTTTACCGATCTCTGCCAAATTTGAGACATATCACGGCTAAATGATACTCTATACTTTTTGAAAATTGGAGCTCAATCGGTCAAAGTTAACGGGAGTTATATTGATAAATTTAATTTTTCGAAAAATTCAAAATATCATAAAGTCAAAACTTCTCGATGTTTTGGCACATTCTGAACATGGTGACATGAAAATCTCGACAGGAAAATTTTCCACCGTCACATAGCTTACTCTATGAGAAAGCAAAACGGGGGATGTCAAGTGCAAAGGGTTTATATATTAATTTTTATTTCAACCAATAATAGTTATTGAAAAAAATTATATGTTCTACAGAAATGATTTTCCGACAGTTTTACTATTATACAAGAGGACTATCCGTACTGACACACCATACCTTGACTGTGAAGATGACAATACTTGGCTGAACCTCAAGATATATTATGTGACGTATATTTTCTGTGATCGTAATTCTCGTAACCATAGTAGAAATTTCGATTAGTTAACTGATTTTATGTTTTAGGATGGTACCGTTTATATGACGAACTTTTCACATATTACGTGATCGTATGAGGACGGGTTTGTTTTTCTACGAACTCAACAGAGTATATAGTATTTTCGAAGTCGTATACAAGTGAAGAATTCCAAAGACAATGTCGTACATTTGAATACTAATATGTCATACACTTATTAAGCAGTTCTATGAGTTGAACATTTTTGATAGTTAAAAAACAATGAAGTCTCTTGCAAGCTACAGGTGGCTCTGCATACAATTTCTGTTACAAAGTATGCACGTGCATGATTTGACACTGAAATATATATATATATTTTTTTTCAGTTAGTATTTCAGTGATATTATGTAAAGAAGCCAACTATGATTTGCAAAAGATTCCATTGTTTGCGAACTGTCAAGAAAACAAATTAAACCCCTTGATCGATTATAGGTATCGTAACGTATACATATATAACAAATAACCTTATATATGTATATAAACAATAATATTAAATAGGCATCGTGACGCGTGTGAATCCCGTACTCCTCGGGCCACCTTGTCCACAATTTCAGGGTTAGCTAGTTTACAGCAATAAACGAGCAAACCGTCTCGGGCAAGGTAGCAAACTGACCCTTTGTTATTACTCTGTAAAGATACTACTTTTCGCAATATACTCAAACTGCGTGGAGTAAGGTGGCAAACCGACGCCTCTCGACTTCTTTTCAGTGCATTTAGACTGGGACGCTACAGTGTCGTATTATCGTCACTTGTATCGCTTCCGTCGTCAGATGCTCTTCACTTTATTATTATTATCATTAACATTCCATTTTCTGTCGTAAAATTTTTTATTCTTCTCGTCAACCCTTTGACCATATTCAGGAATACCAGATACTGTTCACCGGTGCAACTTTCATGCAATCTGTATCAATCCTTTTAACCACAATCTATATTATAGCAGATATTCATTGGCATGATTCAGATCACTTTAACATATCAACTCTTGGACCATATTCTGGAAGCAAGATATTGTTCCTCGACACGATTTTGTAACCCTGGTCTACCAGTACGATGCTAACGTTGCTACCGTGGATTAGGGAGAGCTAAATTAATAATACTTATGTCATCATGCAATTAGTAGTATCTAATAGGTTCATGTATCCCGCTATCTTTCCGTTAACGCATTTATATTTTTTTAGCATGCAGCTTTAACACTATACTCTCATAACTCATAACTAACATTCAGCACCTTTAGGCTGAACCTACATTAACATTCTCTGTATATCGTTTAGGACAATATATTGTTTGGTTTTTCTGTTTTGTAAACAAAATTTCATCTTTATTTCTTTCGTTCGGCCTATTATACTGAATAAAATTCATAACAACCGACATTGGCTCGGATTCGCCTAACTCACACGAGCTGGAGAACCACCTCGTGTGAAATATAAAGGTTACAGTATAGTTCTGCGTGTATTCTCCATAGCATACGTATTTTTATTACTAAAAAAATTGTTGTATTATTTTTTAAGGTCGATACCCACGGGGTATTTCTGTTATGTACAACACTATGCAAACTGCACATATAGTCGGGCCCACAAGTAAAATAGCCTAAACTGACAGATGGGAATACGTCTTTCGTACTATGAACTTTCGTAGCAAAATTTCTCAATGGCTAATACTCTTTTGCTAAAGATGATAAATGGTTTTATATTGATTTTCATTACACACATTACTTTAGACAAAAAATCATTGGCAACGGGAAGTTTCCTGGCTTCGTATTTTCCCATCTGTCACTGTGAGCTAATTTACTTGTGGGCCGACTGTATGTATGTCTTGGCAGTTGATCACTCGGGCACGTGCCGCTCTACGTCGTCCCAGCAAAAAATATCAATTTTCTTCTCACAAAGTACCGGCGGATAAATAAATACAGGCCAAGTGGCCTCTCCGAGCACATTCTACGGACCAGATCTTTAGTTTATGATTACGTAAAGCTATCACAGCGACATCTGCTTCCTTTGGACAATCTTAACTTTCTTTTGAAGAAGCTGACAAAAAAATATTAGGCAGTCGGTATTTCGATTTCTTGGATCCACTGTGAGAGAAAAAGCCCATAAGAGTTCATTTTCCAACGTTTATCCACCTGACTTTCGTGCTTTATAAGTTCACAGGAGTGTCCTGATCAACGGAACCACTGGTTAGTCTCGAAAAATAGAGAAGAAGTAACTACGTTAGGTATGGCTGTAATTCACCATGTGAAATGCTAATCGACGATCGCTCCTGCTTGGACATATTGTAAATCTTAGAGAATGCATTACCATTGCTTGCTTCTCGTTAGGGATGAGACGATCTAATTGAAAATAGAGGAACTAATTGGCATTCGCCTGGTGTTCGAGACTCGGAGTAGTCGAGTCCTCGCGTGTAATCCGATAATCGAGACTCTTCAGCACCAGAGGTCATTTAGGTACCGGTTAGAGTTGAAGTGTAACTTATTTGTTCCAAGGAAGCACTTACGGCTACGGCAAGATTTCCTGATAAAATTTCTTATTTATTAGACTTGTAGCGGCATCGAGGTGGAGCTTTGCTTACAACATAGATAACGAACGGGTTGAGATAACTTCGATAATAAATTAAAGACACCTCCGCTCCTCCATTAATCACTGCACACCTTATACTTCAACCTTACGATCGCTCGCGAATTCGTTTTGTCGGCAGTTTGCATCAACAAAAAAGCATTTTGAAGCTTACGTAATCAGGCAAAATACCGATAGTGCAATAACCACTAAATATCTTAAAACTTCTTTTATATTTATAAATTCTCTTTGATAAGTTTCTATAAAATATCAATACTACCAAATAATCGAACTTCATGCATGCCACTATAAAGTAGAAACGAATACTCAATATTTCATTTCTGAAAGTACCTGTCTCGGGGAGGATGCTTAACTGTATGAATAATGGAGTCGCGCCAAAAAGAATTTGTCTATAAGAACATTAGCGGCGAGTCGTCAAAGGATATAGACATTGACAAAGGGATAGCCGAAGGGATAGGGTTTGTATCCTTGTTCGATTTTGGAACAAGTATTGCTACTTAATTTTAATTAATTCCTGAATAATTGACACGACCTATATCTCCATATAAAATAATTGAGAAATTGTAGAAATTACTTACGGAGCCATAAAGCAGACCGCAAGAGTCCATACACAGATATAAACAGGTGGCAACTCCTTGGATCCTTAATTGACCTCTCGACACCGAAGTCCTTTGAAAAATGGCTGAAACAAAAATGAACAAAGATCAAATATGGCTGTAGTGAAATATCAATAAAAATCAATATTCCCTAATTGGTTAGATAACTATATCTTTATACACAAGTATATATATACATATATATATATGTATAGCAATATATTGCCTAAACAATTTGCAGATAATTTGCCAAACAAGTGTGGCTAATGTATTCAGAGATTTGGATTGGACGCTGTGCTCCCATGTCGTTCGTCGTTTCTCTTGCAGCTTCTTCCTTGCTCGCTTATGCAATAACGCTCTCTCGTAGGATATCGTGTGTCTTGCCGCGTGCAGGGAGCCACTTCACGATGTGTGGAACCGTAAAGGCATCCCGTGCGATTTGATAAATGATCTACAGAGTGAAATGTTAAACGCTATGCCATTTCGTTCCTTGTTGTGCCACCAGAGTGACGTGTGGCGCTACTGTATACATATATAATACGTCTTGTAGACAATCTTCATCAACCGAGATCATTTTGTTTGTCATTCGTTTAATTTATCAGCAACTAAACAATTGTATGAATAAAATGGCGTACATGACAGACACTAATCCGGTCAACGCATTTCAGACTAGCATTTCTCATTGATCATTTATTCAATTTGAAATCAACCGAGTGTTCACTCTGTGCTCTTATTTGAAATCAACTGATCCAACGGTACCTAATAATCCCTTATTGATTATTCGGATTGATCCCAACGGGCCGTGGAAATATCTTCGAGGAAATATCCTTTGATCTTTGAATCTCGGTCAATTCCTCTAAGTTTATACAGAACGGCTTATATGTACCAGATAGATCACAGGAACGTTAAAACAATCCTGGATCTATCGGGATACTGAGTGTCTAATGGTAGCATTATATGGACTTCCATTAACAGTCATTTGCATGACGTCGAATTATCAGATAAGATTTTTAATTCTAAGAATATCATCCACTCGACGCATTCAATAAAATAAATTGATTTTCTTGTTATCGAAAAATCATTTGAATTTTAACAAGCGTACACACATTGAATTCTAATTGATCCATGAAAACTTACTTTATTCATTCGTCTCGATATTGTTCCTTTAAAAATTATTTTCATAATTGAAACGTGGCAGATCAATATTATCCCTGTCGTAATATACTCGTAGAGATTTATCTTGAATAAAAAAAATTGCCACATTGACAGCTAGTTGCTTAGTCGATACGTCAGCGATTTCTCAACCGAATCTCGGGATGTAAGCCAGAAGCATGTAAGTGGGTACTTCTTGCAGCTTCCATCTATGCAACGTCGGAGCGCAGTTAACGACCTCTCCTGTTAACGAACGTCAGCGCTCTAATTGAGTCTCAGGAATATTTCACACACCCTGTATATATATTTACGTATAGAGTATGTTAGGTACACACCCAAGAGTCATTCATGGCTTTTGACTCCGCAAGGTGAAATCGGTTCGCGTGGGAGGGCCATTTTTCGGGCCAATCTTTATACCCAGCCGTCTCATCGTCCTTCGTGAGTTTCGTGTGATAATGAAAGTGGCATATAGTTTACTGATGTTGATAATGACAATTTAAAGGACTTTTTAGCACCAGGAAAGGTACTCTTCATTATTCAAATTCCAAAAATAATGACCGCTATCGAAGACTACGAAACATTGAAGAACGTATTATTACGATAGCATGATGTTGACTTTATGAAATTTTCCAAAAAATTGTCACACCTTATAATTCAGTTAGTGATGATTATAATCTTTGATAAGAGTCGAAGCGTGTCTGTAATTATTTTCTTCTTGCGCAATGAATGTAATGATAAATAATGCATTGACTGGTGCGAGAATGTGTCAGTAATTACTAACAAGCATTAAGAGATACGGCTTTGCTGATGGGTTATCAGTAAATTACTAGTACGGAGGAGTATAATGGGGCGTAATATTCATAACGGTAGACCTACGGAGAATGGAGCAGTATATGACACGTCAATCATGCAGGTTTTATTGCGCGATGACTTTATCGATTATGCTTCCTTACTGTTGCTGATGAGACATTTATCTGCAGTTAATGAGGAAGTTGTTAGTCAGAAAAACGATATCCAGATTCGTTTTTACTTTTTTTAATTATCATTCATAATATCACCTGTTGATATCGTATGTTCACACCGATAGGGATAAAATGACGAATAGCGTAAATTAAATTTAATGCATTAATTGAGATAGGGATTTCATGCAACGGAATGCAATAGAAAATTTATAAATTTTTAAGCCAATTACTCGCATCATTTTAATACCGCGTGTCACGACCATCATACCAGTCCTAGTTTCTTACCTAATATTAGATGATCAGAAGAAAGCTTAGTTCAGTTTTAAAGTCACCTGGCAAAGTGATTGGAATTCTTCTTGAATCTTTATGCGTCTAGCATATCACTATTTTCGTACTATTCTATATCCTTTAAACGTGGTAAAAAAATATTTTTTCATTATTCAGGAACCATGGGTAGAATCTTACGGAAATATCAGTATCATGAATTGCGATTCTAGTGCTCTTTTCATTGTCATGTTTGTTTTGAAAATCCAGTACGACAAATGCTTTAATCTTGTTGGCGGCGGAAATCGATTCATACTACGTGCTATTTGACACGTTTGCCGAGACCGCTGGTATCACTTATCGTGACGTGGTAATAAAGTGAAATAATTTATTACGCTTTTCTGCTGTGACTTTATAAGCGAGTCATCAAGGCATATATATACATATATAATTTTTTCACTCGTTAAAACCATCAGTGAATATCGTGCATAACTTGGGATGCGTGGAATTGGGTATGACGTATTCAAAGTTTGCCTTACGTGTTGAATTCCTGAACCTCAGGCACGTTGGGTTAAGTAGATCAATGGTATTGTATTCGATATATTACGTGCATTGATGAATATGTTTAATACTAGGTTCACGGGACGCGTCATTTTAACGTATTTTGTATTACACAAGGAAAATTACAGAAACCATTTACATTTCTCTTCTACTACTTATGCTGACTTTAATGAATGTAATTTTATGTAATGTTAAGTATTCTAAGTTAATAAAATAAGTTGCAGTTTTGTTCACGTGTCAATTTGACGCGTGTCCATAGAGATAGATATAGTATAAAAAATGTCCGTAAACCTAGTGTAAAGTAATTCGAAAATATTATAACAATGCGTAAGCGTGTTTTTCTTGTACTTGAAAACTCTATTTTTGTAACTAAATAATGATAAATTTTGTATCAGTTTGTATCATGCGGTATATTCTTAAGCATCAATAAATAAGGAAACACATATGCTGCTTTTGTGAATCAAAAATCATGCGGTTCAGTTCCATAATGATAATTTTAATTCCTTTTTATAGTGATTGATTAGTAATTATTATTGATGAAATACCCAGATGATAAGTGATCATGGATTTTAGTGTTTGTTTATCCTAGAGGAAGTCTTATTTGCTGTTGCAGTACATCAAAGAATCCTAAATATTATTGTATACTCTGGGACGCCATGAATTATTTTAGCCTTATTAAAATAATTCCAGATCTTTAATCCATGGACCAGATGACGAACTAATGCAGCAGCGGAGTCATATTTGGGATTTTTGATTAAGGGTTATTTTATTTTTTAAAGGGACTAACGATTTCTAAAGGCCATTGTGAAAAACATAAAAAGCAAAATTAATTCATTGCCCTCGTCGAAATTTAATGTATGCATATTTTGTAGGTACTATAGTTTGTAAGAAATAATTAGAAATAAAAGGCATGATATACAGAGCTGTCAATGGCTGGATATAGGGAATTTACTTTATGACCACCCTGTACATGCAAAATTTTGAATCCGAGCGTAAAATGCGCCCGTGTACGCATGTAATATGCATTCAAAAAATTGCGTGGATGTAACACTTTTGGTCTTTCAATTATTTCATGTAAAAGAATCACATAAATAATAATGTAGTATATAAAAATACGCAAGCCCTCGTTTTACATATTAATTTATTATTACATTTTTATAAATTATGATATTCTCGTTTTGAGCTTATACCATGCTCTTCAGTCCCTTTAAGATTGTATAGAGTTACAAGAATTTTGGGATGACCAGTGACATGAAGGGTTCTCATTCTTGGCAGTCGTAAAAGAAGTAATTTCGAAAAAATAATTTAACGAAGATTTTCATTCGATTTTATCAGTATTCGTCTACAAGTGCCCATGTAACGTGTCGCAAGCTCGTGAAATATTGGTCGGGTTAATAAAATTATCAATATAGGTATAAATATGACTATTAATGACTAAATTGAAGCCTCGTGGAGAGGGCACTAACCCGGCGTTATGTCACGGCAACCAAGCAGCGGTTCGGCGTCATTCTCTGTCTCGAAAATAGAACGCCGTTGTCGTTTCGAGTACTCTGCCATAATAAACGGCGTCTTGGCTTTGTATTTCATCGTTAATGCTTGCGCATCACGAGAGAGTCTACTCACGGTTGGCAATCTCGGGAGAGAACCAGGTACGTATTCACATGACGTGGGAAGAAAGCAGGGTGCTTGCGTGGCCATACGAAATTGAATGAATGTTAAAATATACAACGTGGGAAAGTAGCCAAGTGAATCCGTATAGAAACCAGGAAAAATCGCGATGAGTAGGGCTGATGGCGATTTGTATCTTTGGAACTTTTTTTTTCAGAAAAGAATTTTATAACATCCTGCGTGCAACGTTAAATAAAAGAAAACCGTGAATTAGCGTGGGAATTTGAAACAATGGTAAAATAAATATGCGAGATGGGATCCTTTGTGTACGTATAAGTTTTATGCGTATCTCTTTTTTCTTTCAAAAATAAATAAATAAATAAATAACCTCTCAGATAGGATCGCCAGGGGGATGAGTAATTTGTGTTGCTAAATGGATGGACTTACCTTGAAAATTTATCTTTTTTTTGGCTCGTACGGTTCCTTCGTACGAAGAGGACAGAAAGTGCGTCGCTCTCTATGTAAATGACGCGCGGTAA